CATCTAAGTATGCATGATCACCTCGTAACCGTGTCGCTTAGAAACTGAAGAAAATATATTTATTTAACCGCACACGTCTGTTCTGCTCCTGAATTTGCATTGAACAGTTATATTGTATTCTTGCATTGTAGATTGGTAGAAAACATATTTTATTAAGCCAGTCTTCCTTTTGGCAAGTGCCGTACATCTAGTGGCATTTGTGTCATCACCTCTTCCATTGTTCCTCTCAACCTTTAAGGAACCGTTTCTGTCACCCTCCCACTGCTGCAAAAATAATAAATGAATAAGTTATGAATAAATAAAGGGTTGCTGTGTGACCCACTGAGCATTGGGAAATACAGTGCATGCAATGAAAATAGCATTCTCTGGTTTTGCCCATGTGATTTAAGCACATGTATGATGACATGCTGTGAAGGCATAAATATAAGTCTTTGTTGTTCCTTTATTGTGAGAAAGAGCGCGTGTTTTTTTAGCGAGTCCTCTGAGTCACTTCAGTGCTTCTGTGAGGCGGTTCTTCATCCCCTTGACTGTGACCTTACTGCCAGCAAACCAGTCGGCTTCACAAGTTGTTGTGATTTTCAACTCAGCGGACCCCCCCGTCATTGTCTCAAGCACTTATATACATTCTCGTTATCACACACTTTTACCACCTTCCCTGTCTCACCGTCCAATGGCACCTCAGACCCCACGACGTCTCTGTCCGCTTTCCTCCGGTCTGTTTCATCTCAGCTGACTGCCTGTCTCCTGCTCTCCCTTTTGGCTACAGCCTGCTGAATTAAACATTGCCGCAGTCTCTCTCAGCAAATCTGCAGACTACATCAAATACGCCGTCTCTCGCTCTATCCAATTACAGATGGCTCATCCAAACTAATTCAAGACCTGAGTCGGACAAACGTTACACCTTGTTTCTGTTGAAAAGAAACGGGGCCGAGATGAACACTGACAGATGCCCGGACAAAGAACACAAAGAAACTCTTGAAAAGGGGATTTTTGGCCATTGTTCATCGGAGAACTTGAACCAATTAGGCAACAGACAATGCTATGCTAATAGCGAATTATAAGAAAATCAGTATTAAAAAAATGGGTGAGTTGCAGGTCTATCTGTTTGCCAGATAGTTTAAATTAGAGGCCGAATAAAGGAAGTTGTTTGCATGTGCAAATTAAAGCCATAGATTATTAATTCAAGGTTTTGTGCTGATCAAGTGGTTGTCTGAGGACTGATTATAGTTAGGAATAATTAATGTCATGAAGGAAAAAGTTCAGAAAGAGATATGCATAATGTGCTTGCATTGGATATAACCATGCTTCCCTCGTATTACAGCTGTGTTAAGGAATGATTTAATGAAATATTTTAACCTCAAAGGACACATGAATGGAAATGTCCTCATGGTGGAGACAAACTGGTGGTGGAGACATCGCCTATTCTTATGCCACGTCTTTCACGTGGGTGTATTTACGAGATACACTAAACTTGTAGCGTGCATTTTAGCAAATATTGCCTAATTAAACCACATAAGTAGTACTTATTTTGGTTCAGAATTATAATCTTGATTTTTGCAGTCAAACGTTGCCTTCATTTGTTTTGGGAGGTTAACATACAACACCAAAACATTTGTCACACTTTTTCACCACTCCCTTTTTGTCACATGACTTGCATCTGTAATATTTAAAAAAGTCCAGATCTAGAAGACATTGTTCATCAACTTTGAACTCGTTCGAGCACCGAGCGTCATTGAGCCACCTCTCACCCCTCCATGTCCAGCAATAGCAATGTGCATGTGATGTAAAGATGCGGGCTCAACACGCACAGGCGTTCTTTGCTGGCCTAGCGTAAATTCTCAGTCATCCATTTTAAATTTCTGCACCTGGACATTAGCCAAGAATATGCTGGGTAGTGAAATTGCATCTGCTCCTTACTGGGCTGGCTTAGCTTCTATCTTGGCTCTCGTCCTGGGGGCGGAGGACTCTGCCTTTGTTGGGCCTGGCTGGTCGGACTCGGTGATCGGAAGATGCCGTTGCCGGTGATTGTTTCAAGGTCCAGTGCACTTTATCTAATCTCTCTTACACCTTCTCTCATTGTGATACACGTATCTCCGCCATATGCCGTAAAACAAACCCACCCGGCAACGAAGCCTGGAATGTGTTATCCACCAAAAACCTTTTTCTTAAGCAGACTAATACAGTCAAGAGTATACATGTACATTAATTAATCTCTTGATGTTCCTACAAAGACACGCCTAATAAGCTCATTTTGATTTTTAAATGTGTGAGTGAGTTCTTCATGAGCCCTGGTCCAATGACAAGAGCGGCTCCATCAACCTTCTCTTTCCATTTACTTCGGCGTGTCTTTTCAAAGTATGATCAATCAGAACTATTCATTCTCATAAATATTTCTATTTCAAATGACAACCCCCATCTTGCGTCTTTGATTACAGAGCAATGCTGATTTGAGGCCTTTAAAATGCATTAATGGCCACCAGATTTGCATTTATATTGGTTTCTTATTCAGGCACACGAGAACCTGAGATAGAGCTCTGCGAACAAAGACCAAAGAGAGAACAGGCCTTATCTGAAACACATTCGACCCCATAATAGCGTACAAGCAACCCAATGAGAGATGCTAGTTTGAGTAAACCAGGCCATCCAGTTTCACCGCGACCTGAAGCACGCGTTGATACACACAATCCCACCGGAGGTCTGATTCCGTGTGCACAACGCAGCCAGGCGGTGAAAGTAACTTACTTGTGACCGATGAATGAACATGCAGGAAATGTACACTTATGTTTATGAAAACAGGGGAGCAGCAAACTGAAAGAATGCAGTTTGGAGATTACAATCAGCAGTGACACATACAAAGCCCACTCCAATCATTTTTTTTTTTATAGAGGAATAAGTCCAGAGGGAGAGGATAATTGGTGCCTTGTGGTGTGTCTTCCCCCTTCAAGCGAGCCGTGACCTTTTCAGAGCCCTGGCACTTCCAAAATCTGTTTATCCTTCAAATTAGGCGCATCGCCCACGTCATTAAAGACGGGGCAGATTTATTTGTTGCTGATCAGGTTGGCATTGTCCGTGCAGCGTGCCACCGGGGTAATCTCTGTTGATAAGAGAACCCGAAAGGAATGGATGCTTTGTCTCTCCGCAAATCTGATTCAACCACTTTCCACCACTAAATCGTCGAGGCAGAGAAGGTCCCCGGGGAAATTTACACAGCGATTCAGCTCTCATTGCTGGTTAGAGTAGAGCACGGCTGGGCAATCATGTGCCGAGGAGGACCGAGAGTATGTATGATTTCATTCCAACCAAACACCAGCCCCACCTGATGTCACTTATTTACACACACACACACACACACACACACACACACACAAACACACACATTGCCCCTTTCTCGTTGAAGATGTATTAATCATTGAAATTAACTTGTGGTCCAAGTTGGGATTAAAATCCTTGGAAAACACTTGGATCTCAGGGAGAACGTCGCACACCATTGACTCAGATACGTTCAGATTAGATTTTTTGCACAGTATGCCTTCCCTGCTCAAAAGCAGTGTGCTAATACAGCGGTAGAGTGCACTACTCTGCATTGTACAGAGCATTCCATATGTTAAAGTAATAGACTTTACTGTTGAAATGATCAAAAGGGATCAATCGAACTTTACACGGTGTGTTTTGCAAATGTTGAATGTTGATTGTTATCATCAAATTCTTCACGCGCTTAGTGTGAAATTGAATCGTCTCGTCGCGAGGAAAGGGATATCCAGCAACGATAGCTGAATTTAATAACCCTAATGGTTTGTTAAGAGGTAGAAATGACAGGAGCCACCTGGGCCCGGCAACGTCCCCTATCAGCCCCCGACATGCAAACACACACACACACGCTCTGTTTTCATAAATCACTGCAGCATCACAGTCGGCGCTCGACGGCTCGCGCGGCGCCCCGTGGAAAGCGGCCTCCTCAGAAGTTTTAGCCTCTGAGATTCGTGTCCCTGTGCAACATCCCGCTCTGTCACGTTACGCATTATGCAAATGCATGTTTGCTGTTCATGTGACGATATCAAGGCGAGGAAGCCGGTGGGGACCCGGGGCTGTGGCAAGGCACCAAGAGAGATGGAGCAGTGAGACAGTGAACAAACGCTGTGAGAGGAATGCCAAAGGAATGTAGCAAATGACTCTCTTACTCTTTCCATGCTTCTGATTTCGAAGGGATTGGAGAGAAATCAAAGGACGTCTTTCCTAGAAACAGGGTTTCTATCTCAATCTCTCCACCACTTCCTTTGTAGAATTGTGGAATAAATAATGCGTTGTAGAATGCTAAACAAGATATGAACTATATTAATATAATCGTTGAGGAGTCAAAAGAGACATTGATCAATGATTTAAAGGTAAATTAATTAGTTATAGTCCTAATAGAGTGCAGGGGTAGGATTTATAATTAGACACTAATGGTTTGTCAAGTTCTTATTATGAGTTCTGATGTGTGTGAAATTTCCACGTAGATGAATGAATTAGAATGACCATAACATATCAGTTAATATAACTTCATATATTTTGGGCTATAAACTCTTATTGTCTCTGTTGGTAGTGAATAATTTAGATGTGTTTTAGTGTGTTTATGTGGCAAAACAGATAGATCAATAGGCACAGTGAACTTTATTCTAATGTGAAACCAATTGTAAAAGAAGGCATAATGTGAGAACTAAAAATCTATTACTTTATTCTGCGTTATGCATCTAGCAATTTGAAAGTGGACTAAGTGAAATGTAGGATCCTGTATTTGGGGTTTGTGATCTGTGAGTGCAGTGAAAGTACAAACAGAGGACTTTATTAATATGAGAAAAAGAAGTCGACAGTGCTGAGAGTGGTTGCAAGTCCGTATAAAAGATGCACACTTAATCGGTTAAAAATGTACACAGTGCAGCTCTTTGCAACCAAAATAGAAGAAGAAAAAATATTAAAACCTACAGATTCTTAAAAAATGCACAGGCTGAAAGTGAACTCACCTATAAATTTTATATCTGGTCGTAAATCCTTGGCGGAATCTTTCCACAAAGGACAGATAACTCCGAGAGTGGTGGAATGGTCCACGGTCAGAGATGAGCCAGTCATGTTGCTTGGTGACATGTTGTTCAGTTGCCAACGGGTCCTGGCGTGAAGACTGAACTGTTATATGGTCCCATATAAACAGGAAGCAGATGACCTCAATAAACCTCCAGTTCATGCTTTTTTTTAAGCCGCTCTCCGTTCATTCTCGCTCCATTATGTGGAGACCTGAAGGGAGAGAAAGAGGGAGGGAGACACAGAAATAGAGGAGTGTTAGATGACAACATCTATTTGAGCAGTACAAGATAATGTCATGCGGTCATGTTAATTGTGCTGTAGTGAACAAATAAAAAAGTGCCCTTGTCATTGACCGGTTGCTGTTATATGATGTGTATTTATTTTCGGTTCTTCCTCAGACGGTTCACCCTTCATGCCTCCCTTGAGTTTTTCAGAGAGACAAAACAGATTGTGCCTCTCCACACAAGGACTGTTACCCTTTCGCTGATAAATATGAAGTACATCCTCTACGGTTGCTGTCTTTTTCTTTTCTTTTTTTTTTTTACAGATAATTGGTGCCATGATAACTTCTGACAAGGTTAGAAGACTGCTTCACAATATGTTATGACACCCACCCACGAATGTAAAAGAACACCATTTCCCTTTACCCAGTGGTGTCAATTACTGCTGGAGAAATTGTTCAACTATTGACTTGTGACTTCATGAATTGTTAAACCTAATGTGATACACAATATTGCCTTTCTCCTCAAATACAAAATAAGAACCTAATTATGTTCCACTAAAGCTGCTAGGGGTTGTTAATACAATTGGTTTATTTCCCTAGCTTCATAAAATGGCAGCATAATATAAAATGTGACTCTATGTTCATAAAATATTTGAGAGAAAATGCTTTTTTTTTTTTATAGTGGGCACACAGATCAGCATAACTGCAAAAACGGAGAAAATCTAAAACCATATTGAAATAAGGCTTAATGGGTAGTGTTTTATTTATATAATAAAACTCCTTGAGGCAGCAGACAATAAACGCCACATCTAACGCGCCACGAGTTGGGCCACTCATGATCACCGCGGTGACATATTACGCCACTGCTCCATTACATCACGCGCTCAATGGAAAAAAAAATGAAAAAGAATGTAGAAAACATTTTTACAATTTCAGAAAGAACATAAAAAATACAATATTCCCTCATTCTGAATTTACTGTGAACACTGGCGTCCACTTGTAAGTGAAATAATGTGTCTTACTTACTGATAAAGAGACGATTTTTAACGGTAATTGCGTCAAAAGAACTTTGGCCCCTGGCCGTGAAGCACCCAACAGTGTGCTATCAAGTGCCGCTCTATGCGAAAAATCCTCCCCTTTTCATGGCTTATTAGAGAATAATGCTTAATAAAAGAGCAGGGCCAATTTAATGGACCTAATCTTTTCCTGTTAAATATATGATGAACTACGCGATTGCAAAAGTTGAAGAAATCAAAGTCGCACACTTAAGGAGACAGTGTGCGTCTTATCATGGTTAAAATAAGTGTCTTTTGACGGCTTAGATTTATTCGGTATCTCGACACTGCTTCACCTACTTGCCAACGGACCAGGAAACATTTGCGATTGTGCTAAAAAATATAGACAAACTGTTTGTGATTATACAGCCTATTTGAAGTATAATCAGTACTTAGGAATGATAGTAATTAAACAACTGCATGGCCCTGCATGCCAGCTCACATCACATCTGACAGAAGGAAAAACAAGCCTCCTTTTCCTCCCATGAACGAGATACTCAGTGGCAACGACAAATATGACAGTGTACTGAACTGGTCCATTTTAAGCTAATTATCTTACATTCATTTGAGCTTGGCTGTCAAGATGAAACAATACATATAGTGATAGGGAGGGACGCTGCTGAGCACGGAATTAATGAGGATATGCCCTTTCACAAAGATGGGGTGTGAGGATGAATTTCCAATGGGGAAGAGAAGATGGATGAAAAAATGTTTTAGTGAGTAAATACATTTTTACAGACATATTGACTGGAAAGTTAACTACGATATCTTTTTAGAAAATGTTTGCGTGAACATTTTACAAGTACTTAAGGTGGTTGAATCTGTAATTCTTTGTTCCCATGTTTATGAATATGAAATTAATCCAGGACAGCATCATTTGTTTAATGTGGTGTATAATTATTTATGTTCAAAGTTTTCTAGTGTAAATACAGCGACTGTAATGACTGCAATCACCTTTTGAGAATAAAATAGCATTTATAAAGCATTACAGAATAAGCTATTGATCTTTAGATCCGTCTTAACTATCCATTGAAGAGTTGAACCATAAAACCAAACTTATTTTCTAAACCTTTGCCAAATTCACTGAAACTAGAAAACATGATTTTGAAAATTAGGCTTCAATAACAAAACATTGGTAGCATATTGTTAGAATTTTAACAAAGAAAAGAAAGAAGAGGGTTCATTCTTTTGGCCCAAGCTGGATTTATGGTATATTTAATAAGGTAAAGACTTTACTAAGCATGTTTAGGGAGGTGCACGTTTTCAGAGTGTGGCAAAATCACATAATCATGAAATTTGTAACGTTCCACCACTGCTAACTTTCTCAATTTGGTAAGGAAATGTGATCGGAAGACTAGATCTCTTCATGTACTGCATTGTCTTCACGCAGAAATTACAGAGTAACTAACAGTGATTTTATCTTTGAGGCAGCGCCAATGAATTAAGGTCACAAAATACACATATTTTCTTTTTTGCATGCACGTCATTTCTATACCCTGAACTCTTTTACATGCAGAACCTCAACCCTAAAGTTATTGTGTGCTCTTGAGTTCCCCATCAACATAAAAATCAGTTCTGCTTAGTCACTTCGACGACCTGAGTTGTCATTTCTGTCTGAGTCCTTGAAGCCTCCTGCAGTGAACAGACTACATTTATGATGTATGAAAGTAAATCCTCAGTGATTCTTTTTTTCTCACTAAGCCTGTTATAAGTAAGATCTGCCTTTCTTATTCTGCCATGAAATAGTATCCATCCCCTGCCAGATTAATTTGCTTGTTTGCTTTGTGCGCTTGGCATCTGAACATTTTCACATCTTCACACCGAAATGCTTTGCTAGATAAAAAAGGACTCAAGCGAACAGCACTGAGTGATACAAAGGAACAGTGGACAAATATGAGTCATCGTGACAACTAAAAATGCGGATGACGGTGTCATCATCTGTATTTTATGTTGTTTAAAATATGTTTTCTCCTCTAAGAGGCAACGAAATGACCCTTTGAGAGGAAATGGTGAAAATTGTGAAGGAAGATTTATTTTGTACAATTAGAAAAACACATTGCTAGAAGGTAGGCTTGATGAAAATCAATGTTCTGCATGCCTCCATCACACTCTGAAGGCCTAACTGAATCAATTCACGCTGATGAAAGAAAGCGGTCCGCATGGGGTAGGTTGATTCACTCTTGGTGTTTTGGGGGTAGGAGCCATGTGGTGCAGTGCAGCAGATGCACAGCGGGAAATGGACCAGTATTATAAGAATCAATCAGATAAACTCTTCCAGGGTTCCTCCCTTTAAAAAAAAAAATGCAGGCTCTATGCCACGCTTCCCTCTCAGTGTAAAACATGTAAGCTACTGAGAACTGTTCGGGAGCCTTTAAACAAAACAAAAAAAAATTCTCTCAGGAATAAATGAATGTTTAATGCAAGAAGGGCTGACTCACCAAGAGCAAATGTGCTGCACTGTAAACAAGCCACTGAGGGCAGATGATGTTAAATGGGACGAGATATCACATTTGGTTAATAATTGCTGCCCACCTCCTACTAGAACTGTTGTCCGCTGTAGGAAAAGGTTTAAGCCAAATAATTTGGTGGGGAACCACGGACAGTTTAACAACTGTGGTGGGGCCGTCCACTCTACACAGTTACTGAGGATTTAAATGCTTCGGCACGCAGGGCTTCAATGTTTCGGGATGAAATCTGGGGACATGGGGGTGCTAGTAACAAAACCGGAGATTCTATCTTTCATTTGACATCACTTTCATGGATATAATGATGTTATTTAATTGTAAATGTTATGCAAAAAGCAGTAATGTCAGTGTTGTGGCATTGGCAACTTGAAAACATGAACACACTTAGTCTGCACTCCAGCTAGTCGAATGAGCCACTAAACAAACCTTCACTGCTGTTTCCAGGCTACATAGCCAATTAACGTAGATGCAGATGTCACTTGGGTCTCGTTAGATGCTGATGTGGTCCTTACTCTTCAATACCACCAACAACTGGTCGCCAATGACAATTAAGCTACAGGGCAAGTTTGTTTGACTCTCCTTCCCTGTGGTGAAACTCTGGCAGCCTCCCACCTGCTGACGTTTACACACACAAATCGGAGGAAAAGGAGCATTTCTGAATAATAATACGTTTTTAAAAAGTTGCTATAATTTACGAGCCATACTCACATGGTCCCGCATCCCATGGCATGCAAATTATATATTATTTCATGCATAGAAATCAGCATTTTGTGATAAAAAAGGGTATGCATAAATTGAATGCATTGACGGATTCAACCTGATGTTAAGTGCCTTAAGTTACAGGGCTTCACATGAATTATTCTGCTGTATTACTGCTAACAAATGAAACCTTTTTCAAAATGCTGTATGAAAAAATACTGCACCAAATGTTGTGCACTCCACTCCACTGAGATCCACCGACTTGATGGCAAAATATTTTTTTTGAAACCTCTCCATTCGGAGGTCTTTATGCTCTGTTGCTGCGTGAAATCATAGCCCACACAAATCCCCAATCTCACATGTGTTCCACTCATTTGTTTGTTGGTCGACCTGTCGGAAATATTCTTTATCTTGTGTTTATTTGCAGATTACTGTTATTTGAACAGTGGATTAGAGAAACGGGGAAGGGAAGAGAAGAACTCGATCACATTTACCCTTGAATAAACAGGGTAAAAAGGGGAGGATGTCTGCTCCAGGAAATCACAAGACAGGACAAGGGAGGCTTGTTTTCTCCATCCCCCTTTTTAAACCGCTTCATTCATGCCGCAACTCCTCCTCCATTCTACTTCATTCAGGGAGATTCAATCTCCATTCTGGTCCCATCACTGGCTTCGCCAATCAATTCCTGCCTCCCCTGTGTGGGGCCCTAAGTGTCCCTCTTTATTCTATAAAGTTCATAAGAATGGGGAGGCTTGTTCTCCTTATTTG